TCTGAAGGTAAAATTATATTTTTATTTTTATTTGTGTAATTATTTTTATTTTTCGTTAATATTTATTCACGGATCTTAATGAGTTTATTCTATGATTCTATTATAGAAGTGCAATAACATTATCTTAAAAGCATTGGAGACGATAATAATAAATCATGTGGTAATTAATATAATTCCATTGTTATTTTTTAATTTCAAAATTATTGCGTTTTTTTAAAAAATTTCAGATGATCAAGAATTCGGAACTGCTGGTCCTTCAAATTCAAGCCCACAGTTTTATAAATAAATCTTTTTATATTATTTTGCATATTTTATTATTAGAACTTGTATTTTATCATTTAATATTTTTTTTTATTATCAAATTATCTACATTTTTTTCTGACTAACGGAATCTCCTCTTTATCGTAAATGATAACCATAATAAATATAAAGTTATAATTATTTTGAATATGGAAAATGTCTGAAATTTATAAACCCCGAGTTTCTTATTTTAACGAATTTTTGTATTCTTGATAAAAGTCAAATTTTAAAAAAATATTTTACAAATACTTCAACTTGCTAAAAGCATCTAAGCAAGATTAAAACCTTTTTAATTAAAACAAGTCAAATTAAATACAAAGCACCTCAACATAAATCTCTTGTTGCAGTGCGGAAGCGGAATCTCTATAATAGGAATCTGGTTATAATAAAAATTGTTCGAATGACAATTCTCTAATATTTTACTATTAGCCTGCTATTCAAATATTACAATTTCTCTAATTTTTACCTCATTTACGCCCTCACAAAATTGTATAATATTGCAATATATGAGTTAATGTAACCCGTTGGATCTAATTTAATATAATTTGCTTTGTAAAATTTTTTTTGTACATATATTCCAATCGCTAATAAATAATCGCACGATAATTTTATATTACATTTTAAAATAAGAAATGACCACTCAAGAAATTAAATGTGATGATAAATAAAAAGGAGTTTGGATTAAACATGCCTTTCTCTAGTGGTATTGCTAAATACATAATTCCCTTAACCCTAACTTTGCCCACGTAAATTTAATTTTATCCAGTGGTGATAATCACCACCGGTGAGCTTTAGCAATTTTCTTCTCTAGACCACAATATTACTTAAACAATTACTGGGCAAGAAAATATCAAAATATGCGATTAAAAATGAATCATCTCTCACTCAAAAAATGAAAAGAAATTTTTACTTAATGAAATACAGAAATCACATGACACATTAAAGAATTTGCGATAATTCTGTAGAAAATAACGATGCAACAATTGTCAGAATTAGCATCAAGCAACCGAATAGGTTAATTTTTTATTCGTAAATATTTATCTGAAATAATGAAATTGGATTGAATATGTTCAATTGTGTTATTATTTATAGAAAAAAGGATATGAAATTCTGAAAGATGGACTAACCAAAGATCCAACCACCCAAGATCATGTGTTGGTATTAATTACTATCAAAATGATTTAAGTCATTTTTTGGAAGATAATTTTTATTATTATAAAAATAACATTATTTACAATATAACAGATTTTGTGCGTAATTCATAAACAAAATATAACACAGAGGTTTGCACGCGGAAATATTTTATATAATTCATGAAATACTGCCTGGAATATTGGTGATTTAGGATTAAGTGTAACCAGTTGACAAACAATTAGATGAATCTCCCATGCATTTCACTTGCCAAAAAAATTATACAACAAAATCAGATGTGGGTAACATTTGAAAAGTGATTATTTTTAGTGATCATGAGTTAAATTCTAATTCTTATTTTACTCTTACAATAATAATGAATATAGACCTAAAATTTACAAATATATTCCTTTTGACGATCCAACTTTAATGAAACAATATTGAGATGCCAATCCTGAAAATAGACCTGATGCAAAAACAATTGCCGATAAATTGAATTTATCAATTGGTTACAACAGTTCAAAATGTATATAAATTTAACATTTCAGCTCAACCTAGAAATGTAATATATTTTTAAATATTATTATTCATTTTTAATTTTATTTTTTATTTCATTTTATTTTATTTTATTTTATATTTATTAACTTAATGATTTTTAAGAATTAAAATTATTAATTGTAATAAAAATCTTCAATTTAATCCAGATTAATACAATGTTGTACATTTATATTTAAAATATGAAACTAAACAATTTAATTTAAATCTCTTATTATTTAAAAAATATTTAATTTGTTGAGAAAAATCTCGAAATAATTAAGGCAAATCCATCTTTGTCTTACGGTCATTCCACGTAGTCTAAAAAGATTCCAAAATTGTTTATCAAGAATCTTTTATATAGTTCAAAACTTGAAAGGTGAAAATAGCGAATATGTTGTGACTATTGTTGTAGTCTTTAGCGTAAGGAAATTTTCTTTGATATTCGTCAAGATAACTTCATCAAAACTGAATGAACTAAAATTCGAAGGAAATTCATGTTAATCTACTTTATTGGAGCATAATTCAGTTAGAAAAAAAAAACTGAATGACGAAGGTATCAAAAACATATATATTTAATTATTTAATGTATTTAAAAAGATACCGAAAAAAATGACATTAAAATATTTTACGAATATAAAAATTAGAAATCATTTCTAACTTTAATAGGAGCTCTTCGATTAAACCTTAAAATAAAAGAGTATTATTAATTCAAATAGAAATCTTGTAAAAAATTCACTAATTACAGCATGATAGTTCGAAAGAACATAAATTAATGCAATATATATTATATATGGATGTATGAAAGAAACCTTACTTGTGCCTCTGAAAAAAATAAAAATGACAATTATCATTTAAATAATATCTTGACTATTATAGATTCAAGTTGTAAAATTAAGACATCATAGCGATTTTGATTAATAAAAAGAAAAGAAATAAAATTGTGTGTCTTCATCAAAATTAAATTATACAAATTTCCGATGCCAATATGATACAATTTAAACTGAAATGTAAATATTGAATATAATATAAATAATAATGATAATATGAAAATGCTCACTAAAAGTAAACAAAAAAATACCAACTATCCTCTATATTTATCTAAGCATAACATAAAATAGCTACAAAATATAATCTTACAGCAAACCAAAGAATAAAATAGGTGCCATCTAGCTTTTTTCGAACCTATTGATATAAATAACAATAAATTATAAAAAATAATTGAAAATAAAAAATCATAATAAATATTATAAAATAATAAAAATATTAAAAAAAAAATATTAAAAAATAATAATAGATAATAATTAAAACTCATTAATATTATTAGTAATAATTTAATGAATTTATCAAAAAGAATTGGCATTTTAGGCAAACAAACTTTTTAATCAAGTATAAAATTAGACACTCAATACCAGAAAAAATATTATAACAATCTTTTAGAAATAATATGAATATAAGATATGTTTTATAATTAAATATATAACACCCTCAATGGTACAAATTATCGCAAAATAAAAAGCCTACATATTATTAATTTCTAACCAAATTATCTCTGTAAGATTAGGACAAATATTTTAATATAATTTTACAAAGTAAAAATTTACAAAACTCCCGTCACAATTTTTTATTTAATAAAAGTATTAGCTATTTATAAATCAAAATACAAACATTTTAAAAAAAAATTATGGAATATTTATAGAATAGGATTAACATCTTTAAGACCTATAAAAAATGTCTAATTTTAAATTTTGTAATTAATGCGCCACTTAATATTTATATAGAATTGTGGATCAGCAATTAAAAATAAAAGACGTCTATAACCGTAATTTTTTTTTTGAATGAATATCACGAGTAAGTAATTTTTTTGATGCTCTTACTAATTTAATAGACCCCATGTCTAAGACTTTTAACCTAAACTCCCTACATAAACAAATTTTTTTAAAGTAAATAACACGTGATAAATACAATTGTCCGTGTTAGGATAAAGTTATCCTTAAGTTATTCTCACAAATAATTAATAGCGAATGTTGTATCGATAGCATGACGTTATCTTTATAATTTTATTTAAACACAATTTAAATTTTTTAACTTTTTTTTTTTCTAGCCTCCAATAAACTTTATTGTAAAATTTACGTATAATATATTTAATTGTTGATCCATCGTAGTCCCATATGAGACATTATAAAGTCCATTTCTTTTGTCATAAAGTATTATCTAAAATGATTGGGTAGTATTTCAAAATGTTCTTAGGAACAGTCTAAAATTCTTCGTGATTAAATAAAAATTTATTATATTTCGAATCATGTAACCCGAAAGTGTATTATTTTTTTTACATTATTTTCTCTAAATCTTTCCAGAAAAATCCAGATTTTAGAGTGTAGCACAATTTTTTGAAATATGATTACGTAAAAAAAAAAAACAAACATTTTTTTATATTATTGTATAATACGTAATACTTTTATCTTAAATTATCTTGTTCATCTTGTTAATCTTGTTAATCTTTTTCACCTTTTTCACCTTGTTCATAAACATCAAACGTTAAGTTTTTAGATTATCATTTTCTTTTCTTTTTTTAGTGATATACAGAGACAACATGGCACCATAAGTATCATGCCATAAACATTATAAATATTATAACGGTTTCATAAATTAAAACAAAAGTGGTTTACCGAATTGCTTATCATTTTTAGAATCGTTTATTTAAATTTAATAAAGAATTCTAGAATTTATTTTCATTACAATTTTTTATTGAATGTTAAATAAACGATTTAGATTGTATTTTCTTACAGATGTTATGAATAAATTATCTCAAAAAGGTAATAATAATGGAGGATAAAAAAATGATATACCGATGATTAAATTGAAAATACAATCGATTGAACTGACCGCAGTTCCAAAATTACTCATTTAAGTGCTTGAAAAATCTTCTTTCCTATAAGGATGAATTTTTACATTTATCCTTTATTCTTTATTTAAGATTAAAAATTATAAGACGTTTTTTTTTAAGCAAAATTATTTTCGAAAAAATAACGAAAATGAACAACTTAAATGACCTCCTCGCTAACATAAACAGAACGTTAATCTTTCCCCCATTATTATCAATTGAAGAAGTTACTCTTCTTTACAATACCAAAAGGCCTTTTCGAAGTCATAAAAACTGTCACGGATATATGTTGTTCAGAATTTCTGTTGCTAGAGAATGCAGAAGATTAGACGAAAACAATAAAACGATAATCGCTGAGGCAGCAAGTCATTTGTGGAAAAATTCCACAAGACAAGAAAAGTTCGAATATATAAATTTAGCCCAAAGAGTGAAAACCCTTTATTAAATTAATGAACTTCTAAACTTATTACATATAAAAATTTAAAATTTAAAATTCTAACATAAACTACAAAAGACGTGAAACTTTTTCCCAACAATTTTTATTATTTTCGAAACGTTATTCTTAGAGAGTAGTAGATATTGTAGATAATGTTGATTTATGGTTATTAATTATGCATTATGCATTATGAATTACGAGTATAAGATTAATTTTTCTTTCCGCAAAAATTGACTACAAATAAACAAACCTAACGCAACGCGTTTTTTTTATATATATAAAAATCTCACCTTTATTATCTTTCTCAAATTAAGAAATATGAAATCGAAATAAAGAGTTAGAATTAAATAGTCGGGCTGTCTTTAATTATGTGAAATAAATTATAAAATAAAAATACAAAAAAAAAAAATAATGCAAAATTGTTTTTCAGTTGGTACTTTCGGGTCGGAAAATTCCTATTTTAATAATGAATACATTTTTATAAGTATTATTTTTTTAACGCATCTGCATGCGTTACTTTTTATCATATGACCAAGGAAAATTTGTTATCTTGTGTCACTTGTTGAATATCAATTTTTATTATACAGTAAATCCTGGGACTTGGAATTTTTTTGCGTATGAAAACCATATTTGTTACCATCCCTTATCTGTACCAATGAACCATGCACCAAAAACGCAGGTGCGCTAAAATATTTAAAATATCAACGTTAACTAATAAAAAAGCATGAGATCCCGCTATTTATTCATTCATACATTTTAGACAATTTATTCAGTTAAAATTGAAATTTTCAAAATTTAAGATTATAGTGTAGAATAATTGGTTTGGGAAAATATTTATATTAGTTTTCGAGTAATTTGTCAATCGTAGCAGTAAACAGTAAAGTAAATCGAATCAATTGAATGAATGAAAAAATCGAAATATAGATTTTACTTAATTTCTTGCATTTTCATAAATTATTAAGTATTTTTTTTTATAATATCCTTTAATCTTTCTCGCAAAAAGCATTGTAATTTGTGTAAATTATTCTCAAGAACTGAAAATGATGTTTAAAATAACGAAAAATTATATTAAAATGAGGTCATTTTTATCAAAAACTTTTTTATATTAATATGGTACGATTGGCAACAAGATTATTACAGAAATCCCATAATGGGAAAATTTTATTTTTAGATAATACTATTTTAGTTTTGAGTATCATCATGGATTGATAATAAATATAAAATTTTATAACAAATTTTTATATAAATATCTAAAATTAACAAACATAAACAGAAATTATCTACATCCCCGAAACAGAAGAAGTATTAAACTTTTTCTAATTCTAAGAAGCCTATGCGCGACCATGCTATTTAATGTCATTCCTATAAGCCGAGCTACAAATCACTCATGAAAAATTTCACTACGTATACAAGAAAATCCGAATATTGTGATTTGGCACTAAGAGTTACATCTCTTGACTTCAAAACTTATTTATCCAAAATTTCACGAATGATTCTATAATTATTAATGATTTTCTTATATTTTGCTATTTATTATTCTTACTCTTATTATGATTATGAGTGACAAAGAAAAATAATCCTGTTGAAATTTTGCCAAAATACAATATATTATTATTATTAACCAATTGATTATAGCATGGAAAATTTTAAACATCAAATATTTTGTAAGCATTTTAATGTTATGACTCAAAAGGTGGTTATAGTCAAAATTGAAAGTTACAAGCATTTTTTAAAAAATGAAAGTTCAACATTGGAGTATTGGATTTTGTAACTTACGATTTTTAAGTTTAAGTTTAGAAAGTTTAGAAATCGAACTTTAATGGATAAATGTCAATAGATAATGAAATTGAGAATTCAAAAATAATGAATAATTAAGTTAATGAAATAGGAATAAATTGGTTAACACTATAATTAAAAAAGCAATATATTAAAAACTGCGAGATTAAATATCGAAGATATGATGTTTTGGAATAAAAAATCTATTGCATCAAAATCGAATCAGGAAAAAAAATCAAATCATTAAAATCTGAAAGAGATATATAATTGTAACAACATAACATTAAAAATAATAATATTTCAATAACATTGACATTGATAACAAAAAATTAATAGTGAGCAAATCACAAGATGAAAGTGAAAGATATACTTGATATAGTAAAAAGAATTAATATATTTGAGCAAATATTCACTATAAATAATAATGATAAAAAAGAATGATACAATAAATGTAGCATGCATTCAATGGAAAAAGAAAGAAAAATGATGGATAAAATTCATTTTGAATTGATCATCAGTTATAGTTCAATGCTCCATATCAATATGAACTAAATTATTTAGTTCAATATACATAATGAAATATATGAATGAAAAATACAATATACGAATGAAAATCATTAATAATAATGCTGTATACAAAAAAATCAAAACACTATATACAATTCGTCATTTACCATGCTTAAACTTTTTCTGACTTTCTTCTTGGCATGTTTTAATATCAATTTTATTTTTGCTACATGGCTTACATATGGGTTTTTAGTGACAAATTTATTTTGGTCCTTATACGTCATTAGAATAATTTTTATAACCAATTATTTTTTTTGATAAAAAGGTTTGTTTGTAAGGAAAAGGGACTCTTGTCACATGTGATTTTTTTGATACTTATTCAAACAAGTAAATAATTTATTTATTAATTTATTTAATTTATATAATTTAAGTTATAATATTCTTTATTAAATATGACTGTAGTTTAAATAACTTAATTACATAATTATATCTTCATAGTTTACATACTTTTTTTTTTTTTTAATTCCAATGGAGTCATGCTTTATTAAACAATTTATTTTGCAGTTGGTAAAAATTAAGCAAATTTATCAAAACTACAAATACATTTAATACAACTGGCTATGGCTAAATTAATAACACAACCACCTGACTCATCATTGCCCTAGTGTTACCTAAAACAACTGATGGTCATGCCCCTACCCATCTCTTTTTGACCAATTTGAGCAAAATGTTACTGGAAAGGAATACTAACCTATCAAAGAGTTATAGATTAAGGAACTGTACACTAATATCTGTACAGAAATAAAATATTTAAATAGAAAATTAATAGTAGATAAATATCCATATCCACTAATATTAAAACTAATTTTTAGAGTAAGAAATTACATGAAATCCCATGCACCTTCTCAATTGGTTTTTGGATAATGTCTATCTTGGTTTCCAGACTGTATACAGTCCAAACATCCACTTATATCATGGACTTTAGTTCCTAACCCTTTTACAATATTAACCAGATCAGCTAATCCTTTAGACATATTATCTAATGTTTTTAATACATTTGGGTTATTTGTTTTTTCTCTTGTTTCTATGTTTTTTCCTTTTCTATCTTTATTTTTTTCTTTCAAAACTTGATCATGTTTATCAAAATAATTTTCAATGGCAGTAAGTCTTTTTGCTATATCTACCAGAACTTTGGCTACTTCTTCCATTCTTCTACATAACTCTTCAATTTATACAGTATACAATTCTATTGTTTCTATTACATTTTGATTAAATTTATCAAATTTTTTGTGTTGTTCTTCAATTTTATTCTTATGTAGATATAGTAATGAAGAAAGCTAATAATGTTGAAAAAGATATTAATAAGTATTTTGGTTTGGAGTAGTTTTTATTAGATTGAAATAATAATTTGATTTATATTCTTTGTATAAATTACCAAATTATTTGATTTTTTCTTTCTTATTAAAAACTAACTGTTGTTACCTTTACTTTTATTAATTATTTTATATTTTATTATTATATATTTTCTATCATAAAATTATTATTTTATTACTATTTATTATCTATTTCTTCTTATTATTATTATTATATACAGTATTACAGTAGATCAATTTAATAGTCTGTAGTACAAATTAGATATTATTACTTAAATTAGTAGATTCCTAAATTCTTGTTAATCTGTAACAAATTAGAGTATAGCCAGAGTACAAGTTAATATCTCAGTTAAAATACAAGTTAAATTAACAGTTAAGGTACCAGTTAAGATATTAACATAAATACTAGTGAAGTTTACAGTCAGATTACAAGTTAGCTTAGCAGTCAAATCTATCATATATATAAAGGCTAAGAATTCCTTCAACTCAGTCTTCAGTTTTTTAGTTAGTTTCTAGTCCAGTTCGAATAGTTTAATCAAGTTAGTTAGTTAGGATTTATTAAGCAATAAAGTTAATATTACAAAATCCTTTGAGTTCTTTGTTAATTGTATTCTTTTGATAATTGATAAACTGTTTACTCCTATTAACAAGTCTTTATACCACTGTTAATAGTAAATACACCTCTTTAATAATTGATTGTACATAATTCCTTCTATGCATAAACTTTTGTATTGTGATTATTTTATCTTGAAATTAATAATTTTTATAGTTTTATTTAGTTTTGTTTCTTAATTTTAGTATTATTTTATCCCATTGTCTTTGTAAATTGTAGAATGTTTACACAGATAACAATTTGATAGTGACTGTGAGATATCAAACTCCTTTTTATTATTGTATTAAGAGATATTTTATTAATATTTTAGTTATTAGTTTTGTGAAATTTTTAAATTCCTTTAATTAGTATTTAGATTTTTGAAATAGTTTATTGATTTTATATGAATAGTATTATACAATTAAATAGTTTAGTTAAAACATTTCCTTTGAATATAACAACAAAGTAAAAGAGATAGTTCAATAAGCTAATAGTAATTACCCCTATACTTTCAATCTCCAACAACTTAAAGAATTAGAACAAATCAAAGTTCAACTTCATAATCTTTTTAATATTAGAGATATTTGCATAGTGATTTTAGGACAAATTTCTAAATTAGATTAGTTTTTAGTAATAGTCATATAACTCTCCTTTTATATTTATGAAAGCAAAAGCAAGAAATACCTATGTAGAAAAAGCAATTGAACTCAAAGATAAAGCAGTAGAGGAAATTGTCAACTGAAAATTAGAAAAACAAGAAAAAGACCCTAACTATGAAATTACCTATACCCTTAAAGACTTAAACTGTGTAAAAGACCATTTGGATCAAATTAAACATCACATGTGGATCCGAGATTAATTACTAAATTACAAATTGTGTCTTCATTAATACATAATTATGAGATTGTCTACAAATAGAATTAATTTTAATTATGAAAATATGATATATAAATATTCATTAATTTTGAGCATTGTATTGTAAAAAATGAACAAAAAAAATAAAAGATCATAATTATATTATAATATATAAGTATACAAACAGAAAATAACAGATACAAAAATATAAAGAAAGAAAGCAGAATAATTCTCTCTCTAATTTGATTTCAAAACTATGAAAATATAAAATCTCATGATTCAACTCATGATAATTATCTTCGAGTGATAATAATCATAATCATAGAAATAAATGAATTTTCATCAGTATCAGGAGATTAAATTAAAGAATTATCGAATCAATTATAATCGTTAATGTTTCACTAGATGAAATAAATTGTACTTTAGATTCATTACATTCATTATTATTATTATTATATTACTATTATTACTATGATCAACGGATTGAAAAGATGTCCAAATGGGTGATGATGTGAAATTTGGCGATATAGAGAATGATGGTTGTTGTAGTTGGAGTGATGGTGATGGTGATGATATAAAATGTGAAGATGGAGTAGGATGATATTCAATGATTATTATTAATAATGACAGGAGTACTAGAGTTTTATAACTAGGTGGAGGTTGGAGGTGAGGAGAAAGAGGCGATATTAAGAAAATTTTTATTGCTTAGAGGCGAAGCTGAATTATCATTTATCTAAAACATTATTATCAAGAACGATATAAGCAATGTCAACATCAACATCATCATCAATATTATTATTCTTATTGACATTGACGATGGTGGTAGTGTCTGGATAGCGGTGGGCATGTATAAGTTGTCAAATTTAGTAGTGGAGATTGAAGAAAGAAAGAAAGAGAGGTGATAAAGTAGAATGAAGAATATTGGTATTTTGAAAACATCCGTAGTAAAATTTTGGGTATTTTGAATAGGAAGTATTAAGAATATTATTATTGTTGTTTATTGTTGGTGTTGTTATTATTTTATCGATAGTGAGGGCAGAATCAGCATAGTTGATTGGATAATGTTGATATCGCTAGTAAGGGTGAGTTTTCAAAGTCTAAAAAAGATAGATAAAATATGTATTCTATATTTTAATATTTAATAAATAAGAAAAGAAAAGAAAACATACGTTTGATCGAAAAAGTAGCAAAAGTTTCTTGATTGTCGATATATTCCAATAATCATCTTGTTCGGCTTTTGTTCATCTTAATGAATAAAATCCCTTATCTTCATTATGTCTATTATCATCACCATCATCGTTATTATTATTGTTGTTATTATTATTGGTAGAAATCAGTCGAGAATAATTAATTGGTTGAATATTATTATTATTATTATTATTTATATTATTGATATTATTTATTAAAGAATTTGTTTGAGAATAAACTACTTTTGTTTTGGGTATACACTTAAAAGGAAAATCTATTAAAAACTGAGAAATACTTTCATTAATATCTCAAATAATATCAATGATGGTGGTGATGAACGTGATATGATAGTGATGTTTTAGCATTAAAAATCGAATTATTAAAAATGAACAACCGGCAGAAGAACATATACATATCATTGTTGGGTATCCACAGGTAAGTGAAATTGTATAATTTAATTTTTATTCATTTTACCTAACCTTAACTCCAGTGTCAATTATCAAATCAGGTCGAAATAAGAATTGCTACATTGAAATTACCTCATTGAAGGCATTGTTCAACAAATTGACATATGAGTACGTATAAACGGAGGGATCTAGTTAAATTTTCAGTGAGTTTTTACTAATTAGTCATTATATTGCAGAGTTTAAGTCATTATCAACTAAAAAAAAAATGGATATTGAGCATGCAACCTTCAAGGATTTTAGGGAGCTCATTTATTCCATGTACAAAACACCTAATTTAGAAATACAGAAGATACAGCTGTGGTATTTAATTTATAATTGATGAGAGGAAACTTCCTGAGAACAATTCTTCATTTCGCGAGATTGCGATTGCTGGTATTCAAAAGCAATCTTAAGTTTGCGTCAATCATTATGGTTTCTTCAATACCATTTATCAACGGAAATTTAGTGCCAATCATATGTACAGTACATACTTAACAATGACCCAAATTCAGGCTTTGATGTATTTCAATAATCTCAATGTGGTTGTGCTGATATAAAGAATAAAAAGTATAAAAAGCGCAAGAATGGATCAGGAAATCTTGACTTTGAAAAAGAATCACGTAAATCTGGAAGAATCATTGATGTTATTGAGGTCAAAAAAGATGACTTTAAACAAGAAGTATGAAGGATTGTAACAGATTCCGAAAAATAATACTTCATGGAATGTATACGAGAAAATGTCATTCAAGGTTATTATCCAATTTAAGTGTTAAATACAAAAAAAAATGTGCGAGATCAAACGGGTAAGGTTCTTGGTCATATTGTATGGTTAATAGAAGAAGCCATTTCAGAAACGAAAGTCAAAAAGACTTCACACAGAGATTAAATCAATATATATTACATGCATTTAATCATAAAAGGTGCTATATTAATTTAAAAATCATCTTTTTTACATTTCTGATTGCCATCCTAATGCAAGTGCAGATAATGGTTCTTGATTGGTGATTATTTTTCAGATTTAATTCTAACAAAATTGATCCCAATTTTTTGTAACCACAGCATAATAAATTTTGACTAAAATTCTATGTTATTGTCAGTGATTCTGCCATCTCCACGATAATTGTTCATGTTTCTATTTCAGTTTAAATAGTCTATAGGTGGCATTCAAAATTGAAGTGAGAGTCGTAATTGTTTGTCCAATTGAAAAAGAAGCATGATGATGAAAATTAAATTTTTATAAAAAACATCACAACTTGTTGGACAATGATGAAATTGTTATGAAAAAATATATTTGAACCGTATTGAAGTTTTGTTTTTTCATGAAATAATTTTATATTTAGTAGTTGTCAAAAATTCAAAAAAAAACGAAATAGAAATTTTTATGATAGGATCATATAATTTTTCTAATTTGTTATTGACGTCTCAAATTTACAAAGAAAATACAAAGACATAAACTTAATAATAATCTCTACTTTAATTTGTAGAAAAACGAATAAAATTTTAATAGAATAAAGTAAATAATACTAATTTATATAAAATAAAAATGAATTTTAATTATTTCTTTGGTAGAACTTTGAAAACTTCAAATTCTTCAACTGAAAATCTACTTGTGTCAGAACGGATATGCTTTTCATAATGATAATTGTCACTATAGCTAGCCTTCCCAGTCTTTAAATTGCCACGTAAATTTAACATGTTGCCAAATTGCAAATATGAAGCGCTTAAATTATAATAAATAGCATGATTGAAAGATTTCACTCTACTTACAAATGAATTTTTCAGATTTTCAGTTTTCAATGAAAATGTAAAACTATCTTGACTAGAATACCATGCTCCATTAATATTATTTTTTATTTCTAAAGGATTATAACCACCAATTATTTCTCCAGTATCTTCCACTTTTACAAAAATGACTGTGTTAGATACTCCATCACAAATTTCAAGAATAGTTTTAACATCAAACCCATCTTTACTTCCTCTAACAAGCAATTTAAATTCATATGGGTTGTTTTCAGTATAAGCAGTTTCTTTTCTATCAATCCAAGATGAAATTTCTAAGGCATGCTCATCTGTAATAATATTAGAAGGAATTGGAGTAGTTCTAGTGGGAAGTGTTACATTCAAGATATTTCGAGGTGGTAATATTGTTGAAGAAATTGGATTGTTAGGAGCCATAAATTTAGTATTGATATCCAACAATAGCTTAAGTTCAAAAAGTTGTTGGTAAGGATAAAGTTTGTTTACCACCTGTTCACTTGAAAAATTAAAATATCTAATATGAGGAAGACAATGTTTTAAAGTAGTTTTTAAAGTTAAGAAATTATCACTTGTCCATTCATTAAGACCTGTTGGCAAAGTTGGATTTTTAGCCTTTCCCCATTGAATCACGTAATCCCAAATTTTATCTTCTTCCATTTGCAAATCATCTAATTTAATGACTGAAATTAATACATCTTCGGGAAGGGAATTAAAATTCTCCGACCCAAAAATAGTATCAGGATGCTTGGCAATTATATTATTACAAAACTTTTGAATCATCTCAAGGTTTTTCTGAAAACTTATTTGATATACGTGACCAAAATTTAGCTTTAACCATGAGACATTGTTGGTAACAAGATGATCTTGGAGATGCTCAACTAATTCATCAAGTTCAAGTTCATGAGAAGCAATCAAGAGATCAAAAATAATCGAATTTTCTAATTTTTCTAACGAGATTGTTCCACCATAAATGTACCTAAATTATAGATTATTATATTTACTAATAATTTATTTAATAAATTATTTAAATTTATAAAATTATACTTACTTGATAATGACATTAAATACTTTAACAGAAATATTAGTAATTTTTATCTCTTTGACATGATTTTCGTTGAACGGAGATTCATTGAATTTCTTTTTATAATATGGACTACGAGATTGTAAAATATAAGAATGAACTTCAAAAATTTGACTAACTGGTGCTTCACCAACTTCAATCGTGACATTATAATCAATAGGGTTTTCAAGAAGTTGAGTGAGATCATTTGATAAACGCTCATAAAATTTTGTAGTCATCTTTTATTATTTAATGAATAAGAATAAACGGAAAAACAAAAAAATTGTATTTCAAATATTTCATGTATCACATAAAACCGGAAAATTGTCAATGAATCGAATATAGGTTAGATCTGTCATTAAATAATCTATATTGGTAACATGGCGTAGAAAAATCAACCGTTAAATTTAATATTTTATTTATTGTCAGTTTTTATCTAGTGAATAGGAATAACTGATATTCTATTTATATTATTATTTATTTTTATTATTCAGACAATTAAAATAGTTTTTTTTTTAAAAAAAATAGCTTGTCTGTATATCAAAAAAATTTTTTTTTAATATACAGTATATGTTGTGTCACAGATTGACCAGAAATATGACTATGGCCTATGTAGATTTTTTTAAATTCAGCTAACCCAAATCTTAACTTTGGCCAGTTTTAATCTGAGGCAAGCATCGATACATATATAAGTAATATTAATTATTTTAATAATAAATTCACAACGAAAACAAAAAAACAATAAGTTTAAGTTTAGAAAGTTTAGAAAATCGAACTTTAATAGATAAATTTTAATGTCAATAGATATAGATAATGAAATTCAACAATAGTAAAGGGGATAAATTGGGTTGACACTACAATTAAAAGAATAATCTATTTAAAACCACGAATTTATTTCATTAATATCGATGATAGGATGTTTTAGGAATAAAAAAAAAATCTATTGGATCAATCGAATCATTAAAAAAAATCGTTATAACAACACAACATTAACAATAATAATATTTTAATAACATTGACATTGATAACATTAAATTAATTGTGAACAAATCACAAGACGAAGATAAAAGTGGAAAATATATTTGAAGGTATATCTTATTATCATCAATGTAAACCTCTAATATATTTAATAATAATTCTATTATTTACCATAAATAATAATAATGATAACAATAAATGTAGCATGCTTTCAATTGAAGTAGGAAGGAAAAATGACGGATAAATTCATTTTGAATCGATTATCAGCTATAATTCAATCCCAATATGCATAATAAAATATACAAATGAAAATACAATATACAAAAAAAAAAAAAATTGAAATACTATATACAATCCGCCATTTTCCATGCTTAAACTTTTTATGACTTAGTCGCATTCTGTTCTTGGCATGTTTTAAATATCAATTTATTGTTACTAAAAGGCTTGCTTATGGGTTTTTATTGATGAACTTATTTCAGTCTTATTCGTCATTAGAATAATTTTTATAACAAAATATTTTTTTGAAAAAAAGGTTTGTTTGTAAGGAAAAAGGGACTCTCGTCGCATGTATTTTTTTGATACATATTCAAACAAGTACTTATTACCATCAGTGTCATGTACGTAATGTATTTATTAATTTATTCTATTTATATAATTTAATTTATAATTTTCATGATTATTCATTTTCATTATTAAATATGCATTAAGTTCGCACATGTAACAAAAATACAATCTTATATTATCATAGGCCACACCATAATCCAAGTTTTATCTTCCACTGTATTTCTTATAATGTTTAATATTATTGTGAAATGAAATAAATCATTACTTTCTTGTTGCATTACTACACCTCTGCAATATTTATTTTAAATACTTAATTTAATTGCTCACACTTAAATAAAGTTCATGTATAAACTCTCGTGCTTATTTATATTTACTTAACCACTTCCACTTTGGCGTCCACTCTTCGGTTACACGTACGATCGAGATCCATTTTCAAGTATTCTTCAAATAAATCTCAACGGGTGATGCTGTCGACTCTTCAGCATCAGTGTAATCACTACTGGAAATTTGACAACTGTTTTTATTTTGTTATATGCTTAGACTAGACATTTAACTTTTGATAAAAAATCTCTAGATTGGGTGGATATACAAAATATTATCTTGAATTTCTATAACTCAAAATTTTTTTGTTACTATACTTTTAAAATATGTTATGAAATTTTTATTGTAATCATAATTTAATTTATTCCTTTCAAATATGAGAATTACATATATACAGTACATTATATTTATAAAGACAAAAATCTAATTAAACTCTCTCTGGGAATGGATAGAAAAATTAATGAATTCTAACAATTGATATTTGCTTTTTTATGGTTTCATTTGTTGAAAATGGTTCCTATGATAGCTTATCTATCTTATTATGGATGAGCCTAAAAAAAAATAATGAAATGAATTTCAAGTTCATCAGAAGATTGGTCATTAATCTTTTGTCAATTTATTTTTAATTTTGTCCATTCCATCTTAAGTTCCATAATGACATCTGCTGTTCGACCTATTAAGAGTACGTTATACTTATGCAATGCTTATTTTTCTCTTCTCTCATTACGATTTGACCAAGGGAGAAATTTGAATCTCACTCGGTTCATCTTATCCTCATGATTATTAATTATCATCGTCATCAACATCATCATCATTATCCCCATCATCATCATCAACAACAACAACAAAGATTGGAACAAAATTTTGTTCTGCCCTCGGCAAGTTTAAACGAAATTTGATCATTTGGGGTGTTGTAATTTATGGAGGGGAAGAACTAAATTCCTCAATACTGTGATGTGAAATCTTTGTGATCACAGATTTTTACCAAGAAATTTTAGAGATTTCTCCACAGTTGTAGTAAACTATAATAGTGAATCAAAGTATACTCTTTAAGGTCATCATTCAGAATGTTCACAAAATGACTTCCTAACAGATATTTATTGCATTTCTCGATGTAAAATTATCTTTCCCTCAGGCTTTAAAATGATTTAATACACCAGATGTTAACGATGATTCCTCCGACAGATAAGGAAAGAACCACATCAACTGAAGGATAATTGTTGAATAATACATGTCCCTATTAATTATCACTTTGAGAAACTTTTAGCTTGGAAGAAGGAATCAGAGATTTCATTGTTATAGTCTATTATCTTCACTTTATCCTATTACGCAAAATTTTTATCCATTTTTCTACAAATTAAAGTTAATAATACTAAATTTATATATGTTTTAATTATTTCATTGGTGAAACTTTGAAAACTTCAAATTCTTCAACTGAAAATCCGCCTTTTTCAGAACGAATTTGCTTTTCATAATTATAATGACCAAAACAATAGCTAGCCTTAAATTTAATGTATTGCCAAATTGCAAATATGATTTGCTTGAATCATAATAAATAGCATTATTAAAGTATTTCACTCTACTTATAATGGAAATTTTACGATTTTCGGTTTTCAATGAAAATGTAAAACTATCTTGACTAGAATACCATACTCCATTAATATTATTCTTTATTTCTAGAGGATTATAACCACCAATGATTTCTCCAGTATCTTCCACTTTTACAACAATAACTGTGTTAGATACTCTATCACAAATTTCAAGGATAGTTTTAACATCAGACCCATCTTTACTTCCTCTAACAAGTGAATTAAATTAATATGGGTTGTTCTCAGTGTAAGTAGTCTCTTGTCTATCAATCCAAGATGAATTTCTATGATATTTCGAGGTGTTAATATTGTTGAAGAAATTGGTTCGTTAGGAGCCAGAAATTTAGTATTGATATCTAACATTAGCTTAGGTTCAAAAAGTTGTTGGTAAGGATAAAGTTTGTTTACCAAAAAATTAAAATATCTAATATGAAGAAGACAATGTTTCAAATTAGTTTTTAATTTAAGAAATTATCACTTGTCCATTCATTAATACCTGTTGGTAAAGTTGGATTTTTAGCCTTTTCCCATTGATTCACGTAGTCCCAAACTTTATCTTCATCCATTTGCAAATCATCTAATTTAATGAATGGAAATCGATACATCTTCGGGAAGGGAATTAAAATTCTCCGACCCAAGAAAAGTATCAGGATGCTTGGCAATTATAGCATTACAAAAGTTTTGAATTAACTCAAAGTTTTTCTAAAAACTTATTTGATTTACGTGAGCAAAATTTAGCTTCGAACATGAGACATTGTTGGTAACAAGATGAGTTTGGAGGTGTTCAACTAATTCATCGAGCTCAAGTTCCTGAGAAGCCATCAAGAAGTCAAAAATAATTGAATTTTCTAATTTTTCTAACGAAATTTTTAAACCATAAGTATACCGAAATTATAAATTATAATATTTATAAATAATTTATTTAATAAATTATTAAAATTTATAAAATTATGCTTACTTGATAATGACATTAAATACTTTAACAGAAATAATTTCTTTGACATGATTTTCGTTGAACGGAAATTCGTCAAATTTCTTTCTAAAATAAGGACTACGAGATTGTAAAATATAAGAATGAACTTCAAAAATTTGACTGAATGTGCTTCGCCAACTTCATTTGTGACATTGTAATCAATAAGGTTTTCAAGAAGTTGAGTGAGGTCATTTGATAAACGTTCGCGTTCATAAGATTTTGTATCACCTTAGTGAATTAAAAAAAAAAAATTGAACCAGTAAAATTTTCAATGAACCAGATATAGGTTAGGTCTATCATTAAATAATTTACATTTGGTAACGTAGCGTATTAATATTATCCATAGATTTTAATTGTGTTCACCAGATTTTGTAGTGAATAGGAAGTACTTAATTCTATTCGTATTTATTTGTATTATTTATTTATTTCATTAATCAGATAATTAAAACAGTTTTTAAAAAAAATATAATAGCACATCGTCCGCGTAACAAAATAATTTTTTAATATATACTTTATGTTATGTCTCAGATCGACAGATTAGCCAGAATTATAACTACAGATCCTTTTTAAATTCAGTTAACTCTAATATTAACTTTGGCCAGTTTTAATTTGGGGTAAGCCGAACAACATATATAAGTAATGCTGATTTATTTTAATAATGATATTCACAAAACAATAAGTTTAAGTTTAGAAAGTTTAGAAAATCGAGCTTTAATGGATAAAGGTTAATAGATAATGAAATTGAAAATTTAACATTAGTAAATAATTAAGTTAATGAATAGGTTAACGCTGCAATTGAAAGAACAATCTACTAAAAACCGCAAAATTATTTCATTAATATGATTTTTTGAATAAAAAAGAATCTACTGGCATCAAAAATCGAATATTAAAAAAAAATCAAATCATTAAAAATCCATTAGAGATGTATAAATATAACAACACAACATTAAAAATAATAATATTTTACTGACATTGATAACATTAAATCAATAGTGAAAAATCACAAGATAAAAATGAAGATGAGAATAGTGAAATGAATTAATATTTGAAGGTATATATTATTATCATCAACGCAAATATCTAAAATATTTAATAATAATCATATTATTCTCAATAAATAATAATGATAAAAAAGAATGATGACAATAAATGTAGTATACCTTCATTGGAAAAAGAAAGAAAAATGGTGAATAATCAGTTATAGTTGGTTGATAAATGCATATATTGATATTTTTAATAAAATTTTCTTCTACTATATAAAAAAAAAATGCGAAACATCATCATCTGGAAATTTTTTTGTAAATCTCTGTAATATTACGAGACTACATAGATTTACACAAATATACATATATATTTTCCTGATTTCATAAATTCAATCCCATTTGCCATGCTTAAACCTAGTCGCATTTTGTTCTTGGTATGATTTTAATATCAATTTTATTGTTGCTACAAGATTTACATATAAGTTTTAGTGACAAACTTATCTCAGCCCTTATTCGTTATTAGAATAATTACTATGACTATATACAGTATCTTTTGCAAGTTAAATAAAAAAAATGTAAGGAAAAATGACTCTCAAATATAGTTATTTTTGAACTTATTCAAGCAAGTACTCATTAACATAATCACTGTCATGTACAGTCACATCAGAAAGTAACACCTGATTTGAATAGTGTAACAATATACTTGATTTATATTATTTATACACCCTTTTTTTTATCTTAAATATTTTTCTCATGCCCTGACTTGATTCATGGCCAAAAAAAAATGGTATCACACCATACAGAGTTGTCTCCTCTAGATAAGGGAAAAATACTGGCATTTATGGAAAATTTCAATGCTACACAAATAGCAAAAAAAATAGGATGTGACCCTACCACAATATACAATTTATTGACAGATATAAGAAGACAGAAAACAATGAAAATTTACCATGTTCAGGATGGCCATCTGCTCTCAATAATAATGAAAAAAGTAAACTCGTAAATGAAGTTACAAAGAACCAACATGCACCCTTACATAAAATTATTAATACACTAAGTTTAGACTGTAGTTTAACAACTGCTAAACAGGCACTATATAATGCTGGAATTCACTCCCATGTTGTTGCAAAAAAGCCTTTTGTTTCAGAAAGGCATGCTTCTGCTTGTATTAGTTGATATGAAAAATATAAAGATGAAAAAGCTTATGATTGGGCACAAGTTATTTTCTTGGATCAATCAATTGTTGAGATTGAAAAGCAGTCACAGCAAATGAGAGTTTGGGGAGGTGTAGGGGAAAGTCTTAGTATTGAATTTTTGGAACCTACTTTTAAAAGTGGTCAAAGATCAGTTATGGTTTGGGTTCTTTCATGGGAGAAATAAAAGGACCATTAATTTTTTGTGATGAAAACAAAAAATGAAATGAAAGGATCAATTAAAATACTTATATTACGATCCTAAACTCATATTTAATTCCATTTCAGCATAAAGTTTATAAGTAAACAGGTAAGACTGTAGTTTTTCAACAAGATAATGTACCAATACATATTGCAAAATAACTAAAGAATGGTTTAAGACAAATAAAACTACAATTATTGATTGGCCAGCAAATTCTTTAGATCTGAACCCAATAGAGAACATTTGGAAGCAATTAAAAGGAAGGACCAACAAAACATTAACTGTTATAAAAATTATTTTTATGTATGATTTTATAAAATAAATAAAATTTTGCCTCAATTTTAAATTAGACATCACTTTCCGACACGACTGTACATAATTTATTTATTAAAATATTAAATTTTATAATTTTCATTATTAAATAGTTTAATGTACAGTACAGTAATCACCTAAGACACATGCAATTACGTTAATTGACTAAGTTCGCACATGCAACAATACAATATTATTATCACCATGCTAATATTTCTTATATCATATTTAATTATTTATGAAATAAAAGGATTATTACTTTTCTTGTTTTCTAATTTCATTACATTATACATGTCTGCAATATTTTTTTTCTTAATATTTAATTTTAATTACTCACACTTAAATAAAATCAATATATCAACTTTCATGCAAATTTATATACATATTAACCACTTTGCATACACTCTTCAATTCCACATACGATCGTGATATATTTTCAAGTTTTCTTCTACTAATAATCTCAACATAAAAGTTGATGATGTCGACTCTTCAGTATCAGTGTAATTACTACTGGAACATAACAAATGTTTTTATTTTGTAATATTTTTTAATTAGACATTTAGTCGAGTTGTCAAGCACTATAAATAGAGTCTTAAATTAGATTTTGTAGCAAAAATATCTCGAATTCTATAATGCTGGTATTCAATGCTGGATTTAATGTTGGGACTTTGTTATAAATCAGAAAACATCGTATTGATAGTATATATTTGCAATAGAAAACTTAACATAAACTTGCTTATGACAAACTTATCAATTTATTAAGTTTGTTCAATAGATAAAAAAATGAATATAAATAAAATAAAGAATTTTTTTCGCCACCAAAACGATCAATACTCAATAATGGCAACCACAATATTTATAATTTACGGTAGCCTATAGCTATATTATTTTAGGTAAATGCATCCTCTGTATATTAATATAAGTTGTATAAAAAACATGATTTCATTTTCTAAATCATAATTACTAAACTTTTTAACTTTTGATGAGAAAATTTCAGAATTATATGGGTTTTATATTATTTAGTTATTATAAATACTTTTTTAAATTGCATTTATTGTGCCAAATTATTTTTTATTTCAAAAATGGCGAGAACTAACATAAATACATAATCGATAAAACCAAAAACCTCATTTTCATTTTTCTATCCATTCCAAACTGAATCAAAAATTTTTCTATTTGTTGTAATTCTTTTCCCAAACCATTCTTTGTTTGCTTCTTTGTGTTTGGCTGAGCTCTCAGCTGTTGATAATGATTTCAATGATAATTTAGCGTTTTTATAATGGATGAAAATAATATATAAATGGGCCAAATGGTTCCAAGATCTATAGTTATAAATAATTTTTTTTCAATTATTCGTAATTTTGTCCTTTCTGTCTTTTAATAGTAGTTGTTCTTGCGGAACTTACTAAATTGTGAGCATGTTATACTTGTGACTGTTTGAATCTCACGGAATCAGATTATGTCAGTTCATCTCATCATCTCGATCAACACCACCATTATCGCCATCATCATCGTGATCGTCATCGTCGTCGCCATTGTCAGTGTCATCGTAATTGTTGTCATCATCATCAAATCAATCACCAAGAACATCATCAAAGAAAAATTTTGTTCACTGCCATCAGCTGGTCTTGTAATTTTCTGAAAGAAGAACGAAATTCTTCTTTACTGTGATACAAAATCTTTGTGATCCTAGACTTTTTCCAAAGAAAATTTAGAGATTTTTCCTCAGTTCTTTAAACTATAACTAGTGAATCAAAGCCATTTTCTTTAAGATCATTATTCAGAATATTTACAAAATTACTTTGATCAATTATTATCAGATATTTCTTGTGCTTCTCGATGTAAAATTCATTACTTAGTCTTTCACCCAGGATTTTAAAATAATTTAATACACCAAATGTTAAAGTGGATTCGTTCATAATACAGATAAGGGTCAGAAGTCGTATCAACCCGAAGGATAATTATTGGGTAATACGTGTCCTGTTCCTATCAATAATCTCTTTGAGAAACTTTCTAACTTGACCGAATAAAACTATGATTTCATTGCCATTGTTATAGTATATTATATTATACTTATTTGTACCCTCTATACATATATGGGATATAGGTTCAAGTTGAATACATCATAATAGGTAAACAAATAACTTCGGGAAAGGCAACAATAACAATATCCGGGACGAGCAGATAAGATCAAAAACATTGTGAACTCCATCAGAGATGTAAGGTCACCAAAAGCTTCAAGCCTAACTATATTTAGTTGTTCAAAATTTTATACAGCATACTCAAGGGATTTTCTTTGATTAATTAATTACTTCAATTACTAAGTTGTTACAGAGAAATTCTTCGAATAAAGCAAGTAGCTCTGCAATTGCTTGAATTGTAAAATTTTTTATAAGATCTTTCGTTCCATTCGTATTTCCCAATGAAATTTATCAAGTTTTATAAATGAGTCCATCATGTCCATTATATGTGTCTCTAGGAGGTTTGATGATTGCTGCATGAGTAATTTCTGGGCAACTTTATTACGGGATTGATAACGAAAATAATTTCCAGTTTTTTATCGAAAAGCAAGCAAAGACGGCACATATTACAGTGTACTGAAGTCATGCAAGCGCAATTGTTTGCGAAGAATTAATGATGTGGAAATGATGCTTCTGGCAATTATGAACTACCCCAGTATCACCATAAATTTTTCTACCTCTCGAATTCGTTAATTTTATTGGTCCATAATCAAACAGGTTATCAGCAAGATCAAACAGATGATCGGAAAGATGTGACAAATATCTGAGTGACAAATATAGTTTTCACGAGCAAAAAAAAAAAAATTCCAAGTCCCAGAATATAGGGTGTGATACACGGTGATAAATATTATGCCCCGACAAACCCTAACCCCTAAAATTTACGTAAAAAATCATGTGGGAGTAGAAAAATTTCTGGTGATACTGGCAAATTTCATGAGCTATTTCTGAAATATTTTTACACCCTTGGTGAGCCTTAGATATGTATTATCCACATTATAAACCTGCCAATCTTCTAAACCCTCGATTGCATTTTTGTCATGCATTTCATTTATATGACAAACGAGCAGAAATCTGGGTGATCTTGTACTTTTTCAACGAAAAAAATATCTAAAATGTCTCAAAATTTTTGTTGATTTCCTCTTTGTTGTGAACATTTTTACGTGGATCTATGAAACCATAGGCTAATTCATGAGCCTCATTATACGCTGCAATCGTTCGTGCCAATATTCAAAATTAATGCAAGATTTAAGTGGAATTCTTCAACCATATATTTAATGTCCAAAACTCGACAACGGTATTATTTAGCCTCTAGAAAAATTACATAAATTTGTAAAATCTATTTAGATCGCTCTTCAAATAAGCTGAACATAACTGGGACTCTTCAATTACTTTAAAGACTTTGATTTGACTAATGTGACGATATTAATTATAGTTAAGTAAATTATGTAGCTCTTATAGTTTACTTTTGTTGTTCATCGTATGCTAAATCTGTAAGGATATAAAAGGTAGCATAATGAATCAATGATTTTCTCATCTCTAACAAGATTGCCGTTTAGCTTATTGGAAGATCTTTGTTCTTCATGCGGGCATAAGTATTTAGCAGCATTACTAAATTGACCATTCTTTTATAGACTTTCGAAAGCTATTATGCATTATCTATACGAATCTCAATCTCCAGGTGTAATCATTTCTATTCTGCCTTTCACAATGTTATCTTATATACCAATGTTTGATGAAGATTCCATTTCGAAAGGAAGATTGCCACTAGAAATTTTCCATAGTATAATTCCCAAGCTGAAAAAAAAATCAGAATTCTTATTTTTACAAATTGTGTTGAAATTTTCCAAATATTGAGGGTCTATATATTGAATTGGACTAATAGTATTTGTAAGGAATCTTAAAGATTTGGGTATGATTTTTGTTATTCCAAAAATCCTTAGTTTAATGTTCTCATCATTAATATGAATATTTTTCAGAATTCTAATTAAATTGTAAATAATCAAATAATAAGTCGAAATCATTAATTTGCGAAATTCATTTTTAAGATAAGAAGCAATTACTAATTTTCTATGAATAATGTCATTAGAATGTAAATATTTCAAAACATTTGCGATTCTTTTAGTAAGATTTGATTTAGCATTCCAATTCAATTTTTGAAATTTTTTTCAAATTCTGACGTTGTTGTATATATTCAAGAATAATCATATTCTCTATTCATGATCCGTAACAACCGTACAAATTTAATTGTAAATCCACCTTGCTGTACTTTTTTATGTTTGAAGTTTATTAAAAAATTACTAGAAACGATAATTTAAACACTTAAAAAAATGAATGTAAAGCGATCCATAATTTAATTTGTTGATCGACAAATTTGAATTTTTTTTTATAATAATTTGTCCGCGATCACGAATTAAATTAAAATGCCATCGAAAATTGGGAATTCATGGTAACATTCTTAAATTTTATGGCATGACGCTTAATCTTTTTTTTCGATTTAAAATAACAAAAGATCTTAGCAAAAGATCTTAGCAATAAATTCAAATTATCGAATAAATAATTTAATTTAACCACATCATTTAATAAATTGCCCAAAGTAAATTTATCTATGCAAAGAAATGCACTTAAGAGTGTTTTTTTGTGAAATTTTAAAGT